CTGATCGTTCCCATTTTCAAGAAAGGATCTCGCAACGATCCCGATCGTCACCAAAAGGCTAGCTTCGGTTATAATTCGAAGTCTGACGCCTTTAAGAGAGGCCAACATCCGTGAACAGCAAGCCGGATTCCGGCCTGGCCATGGATGTATTGATCAAATTGTTACTTTGAGTCAGGTCCTTGAGCTGCGTCATACCCACCGTCGGTCAACGATCGCAGTGTTCCTTGACCTGAAAGGAGCCTTCGACTTAGTTGACCGCGAAGCTCTGATGGGCTCCCTTCTTCGAAAAGGAATTCCCCAGAAGTATGTTAACCTACTAAGGTCACTGCACTCAGAGACCTCCGGTCCTGTAAGGGTTTGCAACAATCTAAGTAGACCGTTCATCACCAGCAGCGGCGTCCGTCAAGGATGCCCTCTTTCGCCGTTCCTGTTCAATTTCGTCGTAGACGAAATACTGGAGAACGTACCAAGCGTAGATATAAATAAGCAGCTGGAGAGAAGCTCTGCGATTTAGAGTACGCCGATGACGTCGTCTGTCTGTTCGAATATAAGGCTCGAGCATCATACGCAGGACGAAAACACGTTTGGCGTAGACGCAACGATCCACTGAAGTTGAAAGGTCGTGCATGTTGTGCCACCGTTCGTTCAGTCCTGCTTTATGTTAGTGAGACCTTGAATTTGCGAGTAGAAGATATCCGTCGACCGGAAGTTTTCGATTATCGGTGTTTACGTAGTTTAGCCCATGTTGGATGGGGCGAACGGGTTAGTAAAGTGGAGGTAAGCCGTCGAGTGTTTGGGAGTCTACCACGTATAAACCTACTAGCACACTGAGTTCAGATTACTAGGCTTCGCTGGCTAGGGCGCGTATTGCGTATGCCCCGCTGCCGTCTGTCGCACCGCGCTTTATTCGCTGTAGCTAATCCGGGTTGGAGAAAACCACGTGGTCAGCAGATGACGTAGAGACGAGGCATGAAGAAATGCACAGAGCCATTTGGTAGAGTAGGTGTCTCTCGCCTTCCAGGTTGGGTCGTGACAGACTCTACATCTGGTTGGTCAGAGTCATTGAAGGATATGGCAGCGAACCGACAGCAGTGGCGTTCTTATTGTCGTTTGGACGGCGCCTCACTGTATTTCGCTGAACGTTGATGATGATAATGAACCATAGAGCAGAACTGGCCGCACGCTGGCGCAGTAAGCGCGACCTTTCAGTTTGAACGAAACAGCACGTCTACACCAAAGATGTTTTTGATTCCTGCGTAAGCTGCTCAAGCCTTGGAAATGCGGGCGGTTATTCATTGACGATGCTACCGGCATTTGAAACGCGGCTACCTTAGTAGGTGAAACATTCCTTTACAGCGAATTCTTGACCATCAAGCATCAGTGCTGGGGGAGAAGACACAGTATTGTAGGATCACTTTTCACTTTGAAGGTGCAAAGCGCATGCCAAAAGGAAATACAGAACTTGCTAGTCTGTCAAGAGCGCATTGCGCATCCTCCATGGATTCGAATAGGCATACGATGTCATCAGCGTACTCTAAATTGCACAGCTTTTCTCCAGCTGCCTATTCAATACCTACGTTCTGGAGACCAGTAAGTGCGTTATCCAGTACTTCGTCTACGACGAATTTAAACAGGATTGGCGAAAGAGGGCACCCTTGACGGATACCGCTGCTGGTTTCGAACGATTTACTTAACCCACCGTAGACCCTTACGCAACCAGAAGTATGCAGGTACAACGACCACAATAGGTTTACATACTTCCGTGGCATTCCTTTGCGGAGCAGCGATCGCAGAAGAGCTTCTCGGTCAACTGAATCGAATGCTCCTTTTAGGTCAAGGAACACTGAGATTGTTGGTCGACGATGTGTGTGACGCAGTTCGNAGTTCGAGGACTTGATGCAGAGTGAAGATTTGGTCGATGCATCCGCGACCTGGTCGGAATCCGGCTTGTTGTTCGCGGATATTCCTCTCCCTTGAGGGTGTCAGGCGGCGAAGTATCACAGAAGTCAACACATTTGTGATTATGGAAACCAAGCTAATCTCACGGTGGTTAGCGCAGTCGTTGCGTGATCCCTCCTTGAAGATCGAGGCGATCAACGATTCACCTCAGGACAAAGGGATACGCTCCTCCGTCCAAATGCTGCGATGTACGATGATTATGATGATAGAGGCTTCAGCGTGATCGTTTAGTACGATACACCACGCTGACCCAATGGGCGGGCTTTGTCATCTCCTGAGGGCTCGAAAGAAATACCTCAAGGACAGACCTGGCACACT